CTAACAGGTAGGTGAGTCCACAGGTTGGCATAGTAGCCACCCACCCAAAGATCCACCTATAAAAGGTAAGGACCAGTCGCCTGGCCCTTGCTAGCCACAATCCCCTCAACACCCCCTGTCTGCTTCCATTCCCCTTTTGTCCAGCTTCCCATACCCAAACCCTGGCCTCCACTTGATCTCTTGGTCTGCAGCCAAGAGGCCCACACAAGCTGGCTGGTTCTAGCTGTGTGTTAAACTCCCCTATATTCTATCTATTCCCATCCATTCTTCATTGGAACTGACAAGCTTCAGGACAGATAAGTATTGTTCTCCATCACCCTACCTGCTAATGCAACAGTGACTATTTGTAACTCTGTATTTCTAAGAAACTTGATTGAATGTGTGTGAGCATCAGTATCATGTGTATGTGATTTATATATTCTTAAGTAAAAGACAATTATTTTGAACACCAGCCTCGACTCCTTCTACAGGTAACCCCTGGGCGGGATTTGGACCTTGGTATAGCTGGCAAGCACCCAGATTAAAATTTGCCAACTGCTGTAGATAAAGCAGTTCGGCTAACAAGGATACTTTGAACCAAAGTCATTTAGGGCTTTAAAGGTCAAAATCAGCTTCCATACTTGAGTCTGGAAGCAACCTGGCAGCCCGGTTAGCTGCAGAGTAACAGGAGTTGTTGTTGTTGTTCAGTCGCACAGTCGAGTCTGACTCTTCGCGACCCCATGGGCTACATCACACCAGGCCCTCCTGTCTTCCGTTGTGCTCCGGTGTTTGCTTAATTTCATGTTCATTGCCTTGATAACACTGTCTAACCGTCTCATCCTTTGCTGTCCACTTCTTCTTTGACCTTCAATCTTTCCCAGCATCAGGGTCTTCTCCAGTGAGTGCTCCCTTCTCATTTGGTGGCCAAAGTGGAGTTACATATGTTCATTATGACAAAATCCAGTAAGAACCCTAGCTGCTCTATTTTGTACTCATAGAAACTTCTGGATGGCCTTCAAGAACAACTGCAAATAGAGTATGTTGCATCAGTCTAATTTTGACACTATGAATGATCAGGATGCAATGCAGTTACCAGACTGGCTTTCTGCAGGGATGGCTGTAGTTGCCAAATCAGACAAAGTTGGAAAAAGGTGATTTCTGACATCCACCTCTCTGAGGCTTATGACCTATCAAAGAACACCCCTGAATTGCTTTTGTATGTATCATATAAACATATGATATAAGAGGAATTTATTCCTAATATACTGTTTTAACACTGTCTTCTTGAATATCAGTGTACATTGTGCATATTTCTGAATGCTTCTGAAGTGAAATTGCATGCCATAATTCAACAATGGCAATGACTAGGATCTTCAGATAATGTGGTTGATAACAGGCAGCCTTGCTTCAGTCTCCAAGAGTCTGCCTCTAGCTGTATAACAATCTGCCTCTGAATACTGTCATGCATACTTGAACAAATGAACAGTTGGTTGGACGCAAAGTATCCCTACTGCAAATGAAAGCTTCTTCTTTTTTGCCTAAGGCAAGGTCCTCAGTTTCCCCTTGAGCAGCATCCCCACCCACTTGATCCCAAACATCCTTCAGTCCTCAGGAGCAGCTTTGTAGGTGGTATAGAAGGCAGCAGAAGACAGGCGGGTGGAAAGAAAGATCTGTTCTACAGGGGCTTTTCTGTTCACAGTTCTTTAGATCCAACCAGATATATAGAAATATTTTGTTTCAGGGAGGGAGCAGCTTAGAGGGTCGTGAAGAGTCGGACTCGACTGTGCGACTGAACAATAACAACAGTAAATAGAAGTGAATCATCATATGTCCCCCAGAAAGTAAGCTGTGCTTTCTCTTTTTCAGGTTACAGAAAGCCAGCTCACTATAAAAAACTGAGAATAACTGAAATCTCAAGACTAATTATGACTGCCAGTGCTAAGTAAACCACTTACTTCTTTTTTTTTGTACATACCACAGAATACGATGTTCTATACAGTTAATTTAAGCAGCATGAAAAAAGGCTTGGAGAAAGCAAGGAGACTGATTAATGATGTTTGGTGAGATCACCCACACACCCATTGTCATGCAGTAAGAATTCCATGGAAGTGGTACAGCAGGTTCTTAGCCAAGCACAAGGAATGACTTCAAAAAAGTCTTTTATCAGGCACTATGTGGTTTAACATTCAAACTGGGAATTTAAAAGTTGAGGAGAAAGAGTCATATAAGCAATCCCTTTGCTTCCTCCATTCACTGCACCCACTCCAAATTTTAAAAAATAAAGGGCATTTTTATTCTACACTGTACTTTGCATTCTTAGCCAAATAGTGCTTAAGGGAGAAGGAGGACAGTTTTACCATATCAATGAAAACAAGTCTGTGGGTACTTCTCTGAAATGCTAATTCTGACCCTTCAGTTTATTGAACCAGTTTTGTTTTTCAGTGCAGACCTCTGTCTTCAGTACTGTCTATGCACTTTTTGCCAGAGTAACTGTTGCCATGCATGCATCAAGTTTGCTTTAATTGCTATGGAAACACTTGGGCTCTTAATTATGAGAGACAACTGTTCTAAAATGGTTCTAATATTTACAGTTTTGACCTTTACAAGACCTAAATGGTTTCAGAGGAATGGTACCTCTAACATGAACCTATCCATATACACATATCTAGAGAAGCTCTGTTCTATCCACCCCCTTTGGAATTTTGGCAGGTGATTACACTTGAAGCTCAAAGACAAACTTGCATATGAGACTTTGGACATCACTCCAATCAAGTTTCAGATAGATGCTTAAGACTGCACTGTTTCCACAGGCTTTTCATCAGGTTTAGTTAAACTGCTGCTGTGCTTGGTTTTAATTTCTGCTGATTTATGACTCAGCTCTTGTTGGTTTGCCTGTTCCATTTTTTAAAAATGCCTTTTGGCTGTTTGCTGTTTTATGGATATTATATGAAGGGTGCCATGTCAACAAAGCATGCTATAAACTGTTTTATAAATAAGTAAATCAATGTATGCAAACAAACAAAAAAGATGGTCCATATATCCATTTCATGAGTTCCTTGAGATATCAAATATGTGTCTTGAGAAACTGGTACTACTTTGGGATACCACACTTACAATTGTCTTCTAGTGTGTCTTTTATCAGCTTGATATGATATTGGGAAAGGGTGCTGCTAACTTTCCTGGTAGCACCACCTTTTCCCAATACATACCTTGTCAACAGGGCTCCCAAGTACTTACCTTAATTCGGCGGGGGATGTATAGTTCATCGTGGGACTATTCCCGTGGGGAAAACACAGGCACTGCACTATTCCATCGCCCAGACGTGACGTAGGTATGTAGCCGGGCAACGCTCTAGCAATGGGGCTGGAAACTTGATGGTACCATTGAGTTTCCAGTCCCATTACCAGAGCATCGCCCAGCTACGTGCCTACATCATGTCTGGGCGATGGAATAGTGCAGCGCCTGTGTTCCAAGCAAGAATCTTCCGGCGGGGAAGCATGTGTTCCCCGCCGGATCGTAGGTAGGTATTTGGGAACCCTACTTGTCAACCAGCAGTTTAAATTATGGTAACAAGCTCTACAAGGGGCTGTAGAAAAGAGCAAGAGTCCAGTAGCACTTTGAAGACTAACAAAATATGTGGCAGGGTATGAGCTTCAGTTACAGCTAGAATGGGAATCAATCTGTCCTATTTATTGGAAAGTTGCTGAATTGCAACGGATAATGAAGCTCAAGACAATGCATCCAACTGGACTTAAATGAGTCCTAGGTTTTCTGTCTCATTACCAGTGCTGATTTCTCCATGCCTATTACCCCTCTGCATATCTCACGCCTAAGTCCAGTCATGCCTGCTATTGTCATTTATCTGCTATTGTCATTTGTCTACATCTGAAATCACTCCACTTTCTAGCTGTATCTGAAGAAGTGAGCAGTGACTCACAAAAGCTCATACCCGGCCACATATTTTTTTAGTCTTTAAGATGCTACTGGACTCTTTCTCTTTTCTACTGCTAACAGACTAACACAGCTACCTATCTTTATCTATCTACATGGGGCTGTTCTTGAAGGCAATTCAGATACAACATTGTCTGCTCATTACTTTCCAGGCCAAAAGGAAGGCTCTAAAACTAAGCTTTAAGAACCTTACAGTGCAGTCCTAAACAGGGTTATGTACTTTTAAGCCATTTGACTTCAATGGACATAAAAAGATGCAACTCCGCTTCGAATTGTACTGTTAAGGACCTGGGGCAGGATTTCTTCAGGTACACTGTTTTGAGATCTTTGGGTGTAGCCTCACTCTGTCAGGGTAATTGCCATCAACCAGCACAGCTTTTCTCAGTATACCGTGTTAGTTTACACAGTCTTAGTTTGGTAACTTCTACAAAACAAGCCAATTCTTTCTTTATTCTGCAAGTCTTTTGGGACACAATTTCAGTTTTTTCCTGCTATGCAAAAACTCCTTTTTGGTTGTTTTATAATATCTGTTTTAAATGGTCTGTTGTTTTTCTCATAACTCACCAGTAAAGCCCCTTGGGTTGAAAACCCAAAAATAAAATGTCAGAAAAGAGATCCATAGCTATCTGCTGCAATTTTATCCTGCTCTTCCTCCAAGGAGCTCCAAATGACACAGGGTTTTCCCCTCCCCATTTTATCCTCACAACAACCCAGTGATGTAGATCAGGTTAACAAAGAGCAACTGGCCTAAGAGCAACCACTGAGTTTCATATTCCAAACAAAAATTCAAATCCTGGGCTCTGGATATAGCCATGATACTACACTGGCTCTCCTGTTTCAGCTTGTCCACTAAATTCATTTCTCATTTAATTAGGTGGGTATCTATGACGACTGGTAATGTAAAGTTGAAGAGACTGCCATATTACAACTACTGTGTCAAGAAAATATTTTGACAGTCTACAGAAATACTATAACAAATAATACTAACTTTTCTCCTTCTTCATTGAAAGTGTACGTGTTTAAGCACAATCTGGAATTTTATAAATAGCAAAAAGTAACAGTATACTTACAAACTGGAAACAGCTCCTAACACTGGGTTCAATGTTACTGCCACCAAAAGAGGCAACTTCACCCAGCTGGCGGGGGATCTGGATTGAATCATGCAGGAGGAGGCCCAGCCGACGCTGATCACAGAATCCAGTGGGACTGGCTACTTGCTTGAACAGATCTAAAGGCATGAATACCAAGTAGTAAGAAGTCATTAAACAATGGTAACTACCAACTGTATTTCAGAACAAATTTATTTTTATAGATAAAAATGAGAAATAATAAAATCTCATTTTGGTTATATTCTTTTTTAATTACATTGGATACAATTTGTCAAGCATTTGGGGGATAGCTTGTAATAGCTCTGTTAGATCATTCTGAAATATTTATTGTACAGCATTTATTAAGTGAAAAAACTGCAAATGAAGGTATGCTTTAGCCTTTATTATACCTCTTTTAGAAGCAAATTTGCTACCACGAAAATTTGCCAAAATCATATATACATGCAAGCTAGACATCCTACGTTTTAACTCAAAGGTTGCTTGGAAAACTAAACATTTTTTCTAAAGTAGGTATTTTATAACATATGGAATCCAATAGTATATTCAAAAGAAAGACATACAGTTCTCTGGTTCAGACTGTGTTGTCTCCTGGGAATGTTAATAACCCACTGAACTTAACCCCCCAATATGGAGTTGCATTTAAAATGATGACTTGTTTTAGTAATACCATCAAACAGAAATTCACAGAGGGATGCAATAATCATTGTATTACAAGTACAATTTAATTTGCCATGAATTAGTTACACTGCACATATTTTCCGTATATGTTAAAATCTGCAATAGGAAGAAGAAATCAGGTTATGATCAACTGAAATATTTATTTGCCCCTACTGCAGTTACCAATACATGACCTGAATAAATCTAGCTTATTTTTCAAAGGTTTTTCAAAGGTTTCAGCAAAAATTGACTTTTATTCCTGAAGCCTCTTTAATATTTTATTTTGCAGTTAGGGTGCAATTATAAAGAAGAACCAGCCTTGTAAATGTTTTTTCTAGTACAGTTTTAATATCTGATTTTATTTTGCCTCCATTTAATTAGTTGGTGAAAGATATCAAATACCTTGACAAGTCTAAGCTCAGTATACATCATCTAGGAGACGGATCCTATTGCTAGAGAGTCAGCTTGCCAGCCTCCAGGTGGAGCCTGGCGATGTCCCAGAGTTACAACTGATCTCCAGACTACAGAGATCAGTTCCCCTGGAGACTATGGCAGCCTTGACTATGGCAGGAGGGTGAACTCTATGGCATCCCAATGCTGCTGAGCTCTCTCCCCAAACACCGTCCTCTCCATCCTCCAAACCCAAATCTGCAGGAATTTCCTAACCCAGATGTAGCAACCAATGCTCCCTCTAAGCTGTGGAGTAAAAATTCTACTGTTGTGAGCTGCCGGCATTAAAGTTGTGAGTGAGCGATTTGGCTGCTGCATAAATCAGTTTGCTCTGGAGCCATCCTTCCTAAGTGAAGACAAAAATGTGTGAGCTGGAGGCTAAAAAACTGTGAGCCAGCTCACAATAACTCAGCTTAGAGGGAACACTGGTAGCAAACCTACTGGAGAATTTCTTGGCAGTAGAATGATCAGGCTATTGAGCTAAATGGAATATTCAGGGAGTTATCATATACCGTCCACCTCTCTTTTTTAGGAATAGCCACCACATGAACTTCACAAAAGACAGAAAATGCAAAGGAAGCAGCTTTGTAAAAGGTAAACCTGTTGAGAACCTCTTCTGAGAAATCCCATTGGTTCTCTGGTGGGTCAACTGTTAACTGAGTATAGATACATATTTTTTCTTCTATTTTTATAACCTTCATTGAGACACTTTTCTGAAAAAACTGATTTTTAGCAGAGCTATCACATAGTTACTAAGAAAAAGAAATGTGAGGTTAGCATTACTTTAAATATACAGATTTCCCTCCATAGAGGCCATTTTTGGAGGCCAACAATTATTTCAAACATTGTCTTTGCAATTTCCCCATCTCTGAAGATTCAGGGAAGGTTAAATAAAAAAGCATGGTTTGGATCCAAAGAACTCTATAACTAGTTCTAGGGGTTTGAGGCTTGTCTTGCTGAAATAGTTCGTCTACCATGCCACATAGCAAACCACTTCTGAAACAAAGGAGAGTTTCAAAAAGCAGTTTGTGACATGGCAAAAGGAATCCAGTCAACTGTCCCTAGGTTTTAAAAAATCACCTTACAAATAATTGAAGAAGGTATATGGAATTATGTTTAGAAAAGACATGTTCTCATGTTGTTTGCATATTAAAAGTGGCCTTTGTGTACATCCAGTATTTGATTATAGTTTCGTCTTGATCTTAGCAGATCTTTCCAAGTGTAGGTTTAAGAAGATGGACCTCAAAATAATGGGGAATAACCACAATTAATTTTCATAGAAATCATCACGCAGTATAAAGATTATTTCGAAATGGTAACCTATTTATTATTAGCTTCCAAATCCAAATAAAACTTTATTTCAGTACAAGATCAGCTCTGAGAATCAGCAAATAATAGAAGGAAAAACACATGCAATGCGACAAGCTGTAGCCCAGAGGCGCTGCCTTACTCTAGGGTAGCCCCAACAGCAGAAGCACCCCACTTTTTAGCCTGAGCCAGAGATCCACACACTCAGGCCAAGGAAGGCATTCCTAGCTCTGAAATACAGAGCAAGCCAGAGCTCTGGGAAAAGGCTCTCCATTCTCAGGTGGCATAAGGCAGCCCTCAGAGCAAATCTCCAGTCTTCTCCAGCAAAGGTATGCATAAGGTGATTTTTACAAGGTATCTGCATTTCTAAGGCTATTCAGTTGCAACCTAGCACATAGCCCTTCTGTCTCCAACTCTGCACATAGTCCCTTTTGTGATTCCCATACCTATGTGAATAATCCTTTGTCTTCATAACTGTATTTCCTGCTTCTTTCCTCAGGATACAGAGAGAAACCAATCATATACTCAAATGTTTAGCGATCCTTCCTGCTGCTAATCAGGGACCCATCCCCCACCTTTTGTGTAAACCTGAGAACCTTTTCAAACTGCCTTGAGTGGACCATTAATGATCAAAAAACCCATTCAATTAGCCACCCAACACCTGGCTAATCCTATCACCGCTATTGTTAATCCAGACTCTGCCCCTCTGGAGCCTCATCAGTCACACCTAGGTATGGCCCCTCCTGATGCCACACCCCCTGGGACCCATGATTGGCCCAGGTAATCTTTTGCCTTCACCTGAGACAAGCCCCTCAAGATCTCGTATTGGTCAGCATTGTTTTCCAATGTTTATATCCGTCAAGGCACATGGCCTCAGAGTGTGTGCCTCTGCCCTGATGCCAACTGGCAGTTCACCCCAAAATTTTTGTTTGGGTCACAATTCCTTCTCCATGGACTTTTCTGCATGTCTGGACAGGTCATCACCCTGTAACTGACCCCTCTATTCACTATCAATCACCTCTGCTTTCTTAGTTCTGTATTGCTTGCTCTTTTTGAATCCTTAATATGCTTGTAATTAGGGAAATTCTTTAATAAAATCTATTTAATTTACTCTTAAAATCTGGAGTATAGACCTTGGTATACAATTGGTATGCAGTCCCTGTACCCCTCTGGTCTCCCCTGCCGCATAGCTAATTTCCCCAAACAACAAGGCAGGCCATTGGTGGTAACAAAGCACAAAACAGTGAACACAAATTAAGACGGGGGACAAAGAAAGTAATACCCTCCTCAAACAGATATACAAAATTACTGGGACCCAATCAGCCATTTGTATATCCCACATATCCGTAGGCAAAATTTGGCAATTTTGTAAGTTATCTCCTGGGTGGAGTCAGCAAGGAGGAGGGAGACATAAAGTTGTTCAAATCTGCCAGGTATAGTTTAGAGAATTGGAGCAGTATACTGATGTCGGATGTCACTGTAGAATGAGCAATGCAACAAGTTCAATAAACTCTGCTTTCCCTGTATGACATGGGCAAAGCCACTGAGGGAGTGGGACACAATGGTATCTGCCTTCCAGAAGGGCTGAAGCTAGAGCATTAAAGCATGCCAGGGTAAAAATTATCTGATATTTGGCGATCTTATTAGCTTAAAAAAAGGGAAGAAGGGAAGCTTCAAAATAAATTAACAGTGAAAAACTAAACCATTTCTGTGTCTAAATTCTGTATTTATGTAGTATATAGCAGGGAAAAAATTAAAGCTAAAAATACAAAAATCATTACTTACATCTGTACTTATCTTCCAAATGTGCTTTACACAGAGAAATTACACCAGTTTTGAAGGACAAGACACGGATCTTTCCTGTTCGACCCCTATCGATATCAATAAAAGGGAGGGGGGATACAATCAATACACAATTCATATTCACTGCTTCTAACTGAAACAACAGACCTGCAGAGTTCTAAAAAGCACAAAGCAATGAGGAGGGATTTCCCCCCCTGAAACACAATCCAGGAACATAATGTCGATGAGATATCTAGAAAGTACAATAAGATAATGCTAGAATCTGGTACAAGTAAAGCTTTAGAACTTTAATTATAAAAGTTTTGTAGTAAGCATGTTAATAACAAATGAGAAATGTTGTTTTTCTGTACAAGTCATGTAATTTATTTGTGTCTCCCAAAGTTTAATGGCAGTTTCTAGAAGTTTTCATCCTACAAAATCTAAATTTCTAGTATTAAGTTTATTATATACTATGAGGTTCAGTAATGTCTTCTAAAGATCTACTATGTTGCTTATTTGGTCTCAAATAGAGACTTTAAAGTACTTTACAAATAGGCATGTGCACAAATCGAACCAAGAAGCTCTTGGTTGGTGAACTGAAGATCCATGAACTTTTAAAGCAGTTAGTGGTGGTTCATGGATAGAGCAGAAAGCAGAGGTTTAAAGGGACTCCAAATCCCTTTAAATCTCTGCTTTCTGTTCCTTGTGAAAGTCACAAAAACAGCTGAGCAGTGGGGAGCAGCCTGCTCCCCAGCACTCGGCTGTTTCGGGCTGTCTTGTGCTCTCCACTGCTCATCTGTTTTTCAAGCTTTCTTGTACACTCCCTTTAAAAGTTAAAGGCAGTGCACAAGACAGCTCAAAACAGCTGAGCAGCTGGGAGCAGGCTGCTCCCTGCCATTCAGCTGTTTTTCAGGCTTTCTGCAAACTCCATTTAAAGGGACTGCGGTCCTTTTCAATGGGGTTTGTGAGGTCACAAACCACAAATCAGTTCAGTTCGTGAATGAACCTCTGGATTTGATTTGTGTTTTGGTTTGTGGTTTGGCCATGAACCACCAAGCTACATTAAACCCCATTTTCCAGTTCATGCTCATCCCTATTTATGAACTGCAACTGCTGTGAGACTAGTGCACGTAGCCTTTAAAAATTAATAATTATCATATGGCATTGTGTGTAGAATGCCAGGAGATCGTAAGATTGTCTGGCAGCCAGAAGTTCTAGCTCTTTAGCGTTATGCACCACTAGGTGGTGAACTAGACTTGTTTTTAAAGCAAGAGATGTTTCAGAGGTGGTTTGCCATTGCCTTCCTCTGCATCATGACCCTAGTATTCCTTGTAGGTCAACCTTCCAAATACTAGCCAAGGCAGGCCCTGCTTAGGTTTTGAGATCAGTCTATCCAGGTCAGAGCAGCCTTTCAATGTTATTATCTGAAAGAGGGAAAAATTATTGTTATATAAAATTACTATACAAACTGCTGTGGCTCATCATCACCTTTTTGCTTTATAGTGCCTATCATATAGCAGGTAATATCCAAAGTTGGTGTTTTGTTTATATTGATTTTCTCCCCCCCCCCCAGTTAAGATCAGGGTTACCAGGCCCACTCTCTAGGAATCTCTGGGAACCCTATAGTTCTACCATAAAGTTTCTGGTGATTTCTAGAGAGGTGTGATATCACTTCCAATTAGGCCCATCAACATTCAGGTGGTGGCTGTAGATCTCCCACTATTAAAACTGATCTTCAGGAGTCAGAAATAAATTCACCTGGAGAAATTCACCACTTCAGAAGACGGACTCTATGGCATTATACCTGATTGAAGTCCCTTCCCTCTACAAAGCTTCCTTCTCAGGCTCCACACCTAAATCTCCAAGTATTTCCCAACCTGGAGCTGGCAACCCTGCTTCCAGTTTTTCCCTGGAAATGACATCATGCCACCACTGACAGACACCTACTGTGTCCCCTCCCTCCAGGTCTCCTGCTGCTTGCCAGGCCATGCCTAGTATTCCTAGTTAAGATAAAGCATTAGCCCAAAATATTTCTAAACACTGATAACACAGTACACTAGGACTGAGACTGATTATGACAAGGAACAAACATTTTGCTGTTTTTTGTAACTCTGGGAGAAGATACCACTACAGACATCAGCAATTCCCTATCCAAAATTTAATTGGGTGTAATTATGTTGATTAAAATTTGATGAAACATTCTTGGGGACTGGAAGTAATCCAGAGATATAAACCATGTCTTTGAGTATTTTTTCCCTTTGATTGAACTAAAATGAGTTATTCTGCTCTTTAAACTGAAGCCACAATATTTCATTTGCCCAGCTCTATATGGAAAACAGTTCCCCATCCAAAACAGGCAATTTTAATCACATGGTAAACCCTGTTGCTGGAGTGATAGCCTAAATCAGGGCAACAGATACATACAAGAAAATTTATGAGTGTCTAACAGAGTAATTATTTAATAAATTAGACAGAACTTCAGAAAATGACTCCGTTTCCCCCCGGTTAAATTCTATTTAAAACTGTGCCATTTTACCCCTTAACATTTCATAACTCTAAGAACCAGGACTAACCAAGGGTTCCATTGATTCAGCTAAGTGCAGCCTTTAGGCCATTAGCTGTATTAAACTTGCACTTTGACCACCAGCTTTCCAGCTCTGAGCCATTCATTTTACAGCAAGGACAAAAGCTCATTATAATCAACCACCACTGAAGTCTACCCACACATACGTGTCATAAACATTCAAAAGCCAGTTGAGGCACATATCTACGCAGAGAGGGACGTTGACCAGGTTATTGTGCTCTTGTTCCAGTCGATCATAAATGGTAGTCAAGCAGTTAATAATCTGCAGTATATCCATCGGCTGGTCATTCTGTTTGAGGTTGTGCTGGTCCAAGGCATCACATGCGGCAGACAAACTCAGAAGATCCACTGTATGAATAATAAAAGTAACAGTACAAATCAGAAACATCATCAGTGTGTGGCAAATCAGGAAACAGCTGAAAGAGTGACATATTTGCTTGAACATTCATTTTTCTTATTTCATTTTTAGTATTTCCTGCTGTTTAATGTATTTGCTTTATATAGATAAAATTTAATTTGGTGACATAAAATGTCATTACTGTAAGAACAGTTAGCTGTATCCCCCAGGATCATGGAAGGATGCTTTCTCTAATATCTATTTATTAGAAATGCAGTACGATACTTTTAACATGGAGCTTAAGGGTGAGTTTTCAGCTCTACAGACAATGAATCAATGGTAATTAAATGAACCCCTCAAGGATTGGGTGGCAGCCTAATTATATATGCACCTACAGATAGCCAGGGGCCATTCTCTTTTGAAAAAGCTTTTTATAACAATGAGGCAGTGCCTTTAAAGTGTCTAATGGTTTTGTTTTTAAACTTTATGAAATAGCAGTAATCTATCAATTAATGAAGTAGAAAGTTGCGGGGAGGGCGGGCTATAAATTGAATTTATAAATAAAAAATAAATAAATAAAGTGTGAAAAGATGCTTCACTTTACAGAATTATTGAATAACTCATAAAGCAAATGTATCCTGGGAGTATTCTGTACTCTTTTACAGAACATGTGCTGTAAAGTATTATACAATTTGGTTTAGTTGGCCAGTTAGAAATCTATATAAGATAGGTGTACGCATTATTCAGCAGTGGAAGCACATTATTTCAGCCACTTTTCTGGACATAGAGGTCAGAATGTCTTTAACTTGCTTCCTCTCCAAACATTTGAAATGTCTCAAGTAGCTACACATCTATGTTTTTATAAGTAAGCAAATCTCATCATGGGTTGAATTGATTTGATAAAATCAATTAAAATTATTTAACGTAATGCATTTGCATATATAGACCAGTTCACTGTAACAGAAGAAAATTAGGCTTTCAACAACAAAAGCCAAAATCTAAAAGGACCCACATAAGCTGTCTTCTCACTGCTATAGCTCTTAAAGCACTGGAGCAACTAATGAGCTTTTAGCCTAACTGGCTATAAAATACATAACAGTGAAAATTATATCAGTCCCATGCATCATGAGGAGATGATGAGCCAGGGGTCCCCCTTTGGTGTTGCAGCACCCTCCAGCATCCCACTCTTCTGGGAGAAGCCTCCCAAGTCCAGGAACAGCAAGCTTGAGGGAAGAGTTTCAGTAACCCCCATTTACTCTGTTTTGGGCTCTTGTCCTGGCTCGTATCACTTAGCTGTCAGAGACCAGCCAGGCACCTCCTCCTGTGTCTGCCTGAGCTGCATTTAAGAGTTCTACCCTGTAATGGTGTACACCCAGAGCTGGTCCCTGACTCACTGCAGCAAGCAACATCACTTGAGAAACTACCTCCCACATGCAAGGGAGAGCCCTGCTCTTGCTAATAGGAAAATCTCTACCCCTCTCCCAGGGCAATGAGACCCAGGCTGACCTCAACAGAGGTAGTCATGCCTCTTATTTTCCTCCTTTTGCCAGCTGTGTGGCAGCAGCCTCTTTGGGATGAAGGTGGGGGCAGGTGTTTCTGCTGACTCCATGCTTGTCACAAAACCACACTCTCTTAAGGAGTCCCTCATAAGAAGTGGATCCTTGTTGCCCCACCACCCAGGATGAGGCACACCCCAACACCTCTTAGATAAGTCCAGGAGAGCACAGGTGGATTCCAGATAGGGATCCCAAGTCCCCCCGGGGGGCGGGGAAAACCCACCCCAGAGGCCCGTTCCCTGGCACCGCTAGATTGGGCCCCGGGGGGAACTCCTCCCCGACATGCACGTCACCCGGATGCAGGCACGCCGGGCATGCTGGGGCGGGGCCACGGCCATACAAGGAAAAACTCTATGGTTTTCCCTTGTATGGTTGTGGCTCCGCCCCCAATGTGCCCGGCACCATAACGTCACTTCCTGGTGACGTGTGTGTGGGGTGTGCGCGTGCTCCGGGATCCACCCGGGAGTCCCCCGCCGCCAAGGTAAGTTCCACTTGGCAACCCTAACTCCGGACAGCATATTGTCATCTTGGGTTCAAAGGACTGCTTCGAGTGGGTAAAAGGCTCAGGGGCCCTGTGTACTGCACATTCAAGGGTCTACTTGCACAACAATCTATTTCTGTGCTTACAAACACATGTAGCCACCTGATGTATAGTCAACACACTACAAACGTAAGGATACAGTACAGACTGTGGAAAAGAATAAATGTAAACAGGCCTTTGAACATATGAGGGTCAAAGAGGGAGCCAGTGGGCCAGATGTGTCCCTTTGTATGTTTATTGACCATCTCCATAAGGCTACATAAAGTTCCAGCTACATATAGGATTCCATTACAACCACGCAGAGGAATCTTAGGTCATGGCCATTATCTCCAACAATTAAAAGTATTTTCATTTTTTGTGCCTTCGTTTCCTAATCAGATCCAGGCCATTGCTATGTCTATAGTGCTGTTTCTTCCTTTTTCTCTTCTTGTTTGATAACATTTGTCTATGGAAACGTTTTAATACAATGGTATTGCAGCTGTTTCCTTGACTTTCGCTATAGGCTAAAACATTCTTTTGCACTCAGGCTTTTAAATGACAGCGCAGATATCTTTTCTCCTATGCATGTGTGATTGCAGGATGTTATTTTTATTGTTGCTTGGCTCTTAATCACTTTAAATTCATTAGTTTACATTCTATTTTTATGTTTTTTATGATTAAAAGCTACTTTGTAAACCAGCATGGGTTGAAAGTGTGGGATCAGTTGAAACAATTTTTTTCTCAGAGTCCCCAAAGCAGCTTACAACTTTTATAAAATGCAACACATTCCATGTTTTTTTTTAAAAAATACATATTTCAACTAAAATAATAAGGTAATAAAATAATAAATAGAACCCTAGTAAGTGATGTGGGTGGGGGAAAATAACAGACTGAAAACAGAATTTTAAAAAAACAGATTTTAAAAAACCAGAAAACCTCTAAACAAACAATAACTAACATTCTAGCTCATGGGAAACTTTTACATTTCACCTATCCTACTATCTTATTTATTCTTTGTAAAAAAAAAAAAAAGGAAGAGAAAAACAGGAATATAGAATGCACAAGAGATTGCTATTCTAGAAGAATCTTTTTCAAATACAATGTTTTCATGATAATGTAGTATAGGAAAATGTAAACTGGTTGTGAGTCACTGCATGCTAAGTGTATACACATCTTCTTTATTGTGAGTACCTTTCTATTTAACTGTTAATCAGCTGCAGCTTTCCAAGCACATGTATATACACAGCAGTAAAGCTATCCATGTGATTTATGGGCAGTATTTATACCCTGCCTGTCTTTCAAGTAGCTCAGGCTGCATTAGGCTGAGACAAAAACAACTGAAACAAGAATTGCTGGAAATTCTGTCGAAAATCACTCTAAGAATTACTGGAAACTCTATGGTTTTCCTGCAATGGTTGCTCCTGCATACTCTATGGTTGCTCCTATATACAACCTTGGACTGCTAGACCTCGCTTTCTTGACTGATACTGGCACATCCCCCATCTCCCACCAGGTCCTAGCCATCAGCTGACAATCCTAGTATAATAGTATAGAGAGTATCCGCCAAAACAGTCATTTTTCTCTGGTGGAACTGATCTCTGTCATCAATTGTAATTGCAGATCTCCAGGCCCTACCTGCTGATGGCAACATGTAAATGGTACCTGCATATAAAAAACCATGTGGGATGACGGCTGCAATAAGAGCAATAGGGTGATATTGAATGAAAAGGCTGTCTGGATACAACACAACAGGTATTAAACTCCAGTTCAAGGTAAAGGTAAAGGTTCCCTTGCTCGAAACCCAGTAAAATCCAACTCTAGGGTTGTGGTGCTCATCTCCATTTCAAAGCCAAAGAGCCAGCGCTGTCCGAAGACATTTCCGTGGTCATGTGGCCGGCATGACTAAACACCAAGGCGCACAGAACTCCAGTTAGCAGAGATGATATTGCAGCTTAATCTCAGGCAAAATGTCTTCCATTTTATAGTATTTGGAATCCCAGAGAATTTTGTCCCCTCCTTGTGCAGTAGTATGTCATGTTAAGAAAGAAGAAGAAGTAAAAGGAGGAGGAGATTGGATTTATACCCCGCCCTTCACTACCCGAAGGAGTCTCAGAGCAGTTTACAATCTCCTTTCCCTTCCCCTACCCACAACAGACACTCTGTGAGGTAGGTGGGGCTGAGAGAGTTCTTTCGAGAATTGACCGTGAGAGAACAGCTCTGAAATAACTTGTAACTGACCCAAGGTCTCACCAGCAGCTGCTTGTGGAGGAGTGGGGAATCAAACCCGGTTCTCCCAGATTAGAGACTGCATTCCTAACCACTACACCAAACTGGCCACACTAAATGAAATTTATTAACAACAATGCTGTACAATTACATCTGGTTTAAAATAGTGTTGTAAAAGAACAAAGGGAGTGCAAATACAATTCCTTGAAAGAGCAAACTATGGTTAACTAGTCATCCCAAACAACTTCCTTTGAAGCAGGCATGAAGAATGTGCTTCGGTATTTAGCACAAGTGCTTTTAAAACATCCAGAACTAGAACACATTCACTTGAATAAACCTTTATGTAAGTGTCATAAAGACTCCAAGACCAGTAGAAAGAGGACTGGCATTAACACACACATCAGAAGCATTTTTATAGACTGAAGAATTTTCACGTCTTGAATGCTGTAATCAGTGCATCCGTTTTTTCCCTTCTATTTTTAAGCTGCTTGACACTGTCCACCTGGACAGAAATAAACAGAAAGCATGATTACCTTTGTTTCCTCCCCCCCATGACCTTTAATGCTAGAAAGAAAAGCACAGCTTTGTTTGTTCCCCAGAACAAACAGCTAAACAACTGTGGTATTTAAATTGCCTCCAAAGTATATGCACAAATAAGACTGAAGCACAATAGTTCGCAAGGAAGACATTGCAAGCATAGAAAGAGGCACATATAAGTCTACATATGTTTCAGCTGCTTTGGATTATTTTTTTTTAAGATCTAATTTAGAGTGGAAACTCAAACCCAGAAATTTGATTTGTTTTGATAATTTTTATGTGGCAGTAGGAAACAAAATTAGATGATGTAAGAAACTACAGAATTGTCTGAAGCAAGTGGGTTGGATCTTATAAATGATAAGCACAAGCTACACAGAAGAGCTAATCTTCTGCCACCTTCCCCTCCCACAGCAACACACTGATGCACACAAATACTGGCAGCAGGATCTCCATGGACAAAAATGTTACTGGACATGGGGTGCAGTGATGCGGGGGAATAAACTGCTACTCCTCCCTGTTCTGCCAGTGGACCTTCTGCTGGAGCAAACATTTCTGCTCACAGAACAGAGAAGGAGGAGACCTTCATGCCTTTTTGTAGGAGATCCCCTGGGCAATGCTTCTTCACTGTAGGAAGCAAACAGTTTCTGCAAATGTAGAAACCAATCTCTTGTACTTGAAGATAAACAATTAACTATTTTTGAACTTCATGGGAATGAGTAAATTTCTTATTTTTCAGAGTAGGAATGATGAACAGCTCTTTCAAGGAAAGGTTTTATTCACAAACATTCTACTGTTGCTGTTACCAGCCTCCTGGGCCCTGAACCTAGGGTGGTCTTTCCCGAGAGACACCCCAAAACAACCTCTGAAGCTCCATAAGCAGTGGCCTCATAAAGCCAGGCTTGGCTTAAACAGTGGCTTTTGCTGGGCGGCTATGAGAACCACATCTTGGCTGGGAAAACTCAGGCCAAGTGAAGATTCTCCAGACTGGCTGCACTGCCAAACATCCTCCATGCAAGCAACCTTCTCTAATGTCAGCTCAGTCCAAAAGGACTAGAATGGGCAAGTCTCTGCTCTCACCTCAGGCATCTTCTACTAAATGGCTAGTCTTTTGTCTGTCAAATGTACAGGCAGGCAGGGACAAAAGAGCCTCTGGTCTGTGCTATTGTTGTGAATGAACAGTTCTGAATTGCTTGCTCTTTTTGAATGCTTAGTGTGCTTGTAATTATGGGAAATCTTCACTAAAACCTATTTAATTTACTCTTCAAATCTGGAGTCTTCCTACTGTACCAGACCTCGGCATACAATTGGTGTGCAGTCCCTGTACCCCTCTGGTCTCTGCTGCCGCATAGCTAATTTCCCCAATGAGGCAGACCATTGGCGGTAACATTGTGGGCTTGGTCTCTGATGTTTGTGGACTAGCACAGCCTACCAGTGTCTTAACAATGACAGATATCTCCCTCAATAGGCTTCATTAGCTCTATTCAAGCAGCACATAAGAATTTGGGGGAGGTAACCTACTATCAGCTGAAGGGAGTGAGGAACTTTATATGTAAAAAAAGGACAATTCTGATGCTGGAGAGGCAGAGAACATAAGAAGAGCCCTCCTGGATCAGACCAGTGGTCCATCTAGTCCAGCATCCTGACTCACACAGAGGCCAACCAGTTGCTCTGGAGGGTCAACAACATGGCCCAGAGGATGAGGCCCGTCCCCTGATGTTAACTCCTGGCACTGGGATTTAGAGGTTGACTGCCTCTGTACATGGAGGTTCCCTTTAGTCACCATGGCTAGTAGCCACTGATAGACCTCTCCTCCACGATTCCACCTATAAGGCTCTATAAGACAGACTCTGCTTTGAATTTGCTTAAGCACCATTAGCACAGGATCAGCCTGCCATACAAGGGCAGAGGATCTGCTGCCCTGTAAGTGTCTCTTTGCCTCTACCTGTGCACTGCCTGTATATTTACAAATATACCAAATGCTAAGAGTCTCCACCACTCTCCAGTACTCTCTCCTCCAAATGTGCCTCTCCTTGTAGTTGAAACCTCACTGCTCAGAAATACAGAATGTGTGTAACAGTGGCACTCCCTAGTATTTAGCACTTCCATTGGTGGAGGCTGGGAGGGTTATTTTTACCACCTCTCACTCTCACCTTTGTCAATGATGTTCTTGAGGAGACTTGATCCCTAGAAACAAAATGAGGGAGGCTCAGTGGGTAGCAGGAGGGGAGGTGAAGAAATTCTGTTCCACTAGCTTCACTCCACTGGTGTTCCTTTGACTTCACTCCACTGGAGTGCCTTTAAATCCACCTCACTTGTATATGAATGAGTAGAACAAATGCAGGACAGGCTGACCTTAGCAACAGTGAATTAACTCTACTTTACCACACTTTAAGTATGCACACACAAGAATGAAGATTGTTTGATTACTCACAACAGAGGGCTTTCTGAAGTCTTCGGAGCTTCATGGCAGTTCTGTATGCTGAGAATCTTACATTGTTCAGGTCAGCTAAAAGATGAATAAGGGGGGAAAGGGTGAAAACTATTATTTCATCATACGCTGTAAAGAGGAAAGCTTAGGATAAACTGAAAAAAACCCTGCTCTGAATGTATAATGAATTAAATTGGAAATAGAAAGGTCATTGTTCGTGATAGCAACACTGGTCGCATAGGACATGCTTCACATCCAGCCAGCATTAAGTACCTTTTAGGCTCACTGGATTCAAGGAAATATTTAAACATTTCCTTATCACTTCTGCACTGAAATCAGTGGGTCTCAAGTTATCTTAATTTTGAAGGATATGGGGCGCTATTATGAAGCCACTAAATGGGATCATTTTTAGATGTACTAATTAGGAACTTACTCCTCCTCTGCTTAACAGATGCAATGAACTGAGCCGCTTGTTAGACAACTCAAAAGGGAAAAATGACATAGAACAAATTAAAAAGAGAGATACAGACTTCTGCCAGGCTTTGCATGTGGCAACCAAGTCCCAGAATGCAACAGAGAACAATGCCCCTTTATAAAGTACTGACGCCAGTGCCACTTTCACCTAGTTTGGGACTGTTGGCTGCATCATATTTCTCAGAGGCTAACCGCTTCAGTTTAAATAATAACCAAGCTCTAAAAGAGCCCTTTGAAGTTTATAATGAAGGTGCTGTGTATAATAATGAAGCTGAGAGCCACAACCAAGTCAAGGAAATGCAGCATAAGGGGTAGAGTCATGACAATATCTTTACTGAAAGATTTCTTCCTCTTAAAAAATAAGAAAAGAATGGGCCTTAACATAAGCTTGGCAAGCCCATTTAAAATAAATTTGGCAAGCTTTTGCAAGGGAATTACCTACATATGCTTGGGCTTGTGGTACCTCAGTTCTCCTGGGTCAAATCAGAAACTCTTTTGCAGCATGGGTGGGGGAACTGTTGTGTCAAAACCCACACATATATATTAAGCTGCCTCAGACTGTTATTTCATCTATGCCAGTATAGTGTCTATTCCCAGTAGGGTTGCCAACCCCACCACCAAACAGGGATATTGTCATGTGATGTCCCCGGCATGATGACATCACCTGGGGATGATCACCTGATCATCACATCAGCAACATTGTTCGGCAATGCTCTGGATTTTTGGCAAACTCTATGGTTTTTAAGCCAAAAAACCATCGAGTTTTTGCCCTAAAACCAGAGTGCTGAGTGTGATGTCACTAACATGATGACATCACTTCCGAGTGACCAGAGATCGATTCGGGGGGGAACGCGGGGGAACGCAGTTCCCCCGGGTGAGGTGCAGGGGGCGGGGCACATGATGAAGCCCCGCCCCCTGCTTCCGGCTGCCCCGCTTCCAGTTCTCATTCAGCCAGGAGGAGGCAGGAGAAGAGGGAGGGTAAGTAGCTTCTTCCCCGCCTCTCCCCACCCCTGCCTGCCTGGGGCCAGGGAGGGCCTTGGCGGGGCTTCCTCGCACTCCCGCTGGCCTTGCAGGTCCACCGCCGGGCCCCTGATGTCAGAGGGTGTGGCATATGCTAATGAGTTATGCTAATGAGTTCCCCTAGCTCTTTTTCTACGAAATGACCCCTGCGAGTGACAATATTGTGCTGGGGATGGCACATGCCCCTGAAACGCCCCCCAAATTCCCCCACTGCGCTGGCGAGGGGACCTAGCAACCTAATTCCCAGCAACCTTATTGATGGCTCCTGAAGGTGCCAGGCAGAGGCCCTTCCCAGTGCTGCTTCTAAATGCTGAGGATTGAATAGTGGTTGTTCTGCAAGCATAACACATGCTCTGCTGCTGAGCTACGTTGCATACAAAATCCCCACAGTGCCTCTGCATCTGGGTTACACTGCACTGTAGTCATTTGCTCTTAGGGTTGCCAGCCTCCAGTTGGGGCCTGGAGACCTCCCGCTTTTACAACTGATCTCCAGCTGACAGAGATCAGCTCCCCTGGGGAAAATGGCTGCTTTGAAGGGTGGACTCTTTGGCCTTGTACAATGCTGAGGCCCCTCCCCTCTCCAAACCCCGCCCTCTCCCGGATACACCCCCAAAGTCTCCAGGTATTTTCCAACCCAGACCTGGCAACCCTATTTGCTCTCTTTATGGGGATTCAGCGAGAAATGAAAGAGAGGCTGCACCATCTCTATAATAACAAAAGCATTAATAAATAAAATATAAATTCTAACAACACACAAAAGTCTTGCTAACAAAAAGAAAAATATTTCAGTCCTCCCTTTTGGTTATGTTCTTTATTCCATACCCTACTGGTTAACCACCCAGAAAGAACAATGTGCACAGAAATGTCCATGATTTATTTTCCCGTTCTATTTCAGCTTCTTTTCAGAAACAGAAAAAATAACCATAGATATTCACTTTTTAGGTAATTTGATGCTTATCCATTTGACAGGTATTTTGGATACTCATCTTAACTACTAACTAAAAAAAAACCCTTGTCTTCTTAATATGATAATTAATTATTATTGTATGGCATTGTGTCGTGTGTAGTATAGCCAGGAGATCTGAAGATTGTCCGGCAGTCTTCAGTTCTAGCTCATTGGCATCATGCACCATTAGGTGATGAGCTAGACTTATTTTTTGAACTGGGAGAGCTCTGAGAGAGCTGTGACTGACCCAAGGTCACCCAGCTGGCTTTATGTGTTGGAGTGCAGAATCAAACCCAGTTCTCCAGATTAGAGTATGTCACTGTTAACCACTACACCATGCTGGCTCTGTTAATGTGATGATGGCCTTCAGCATGCGTTTGCTCCATTCTTGCTGTTAAGACATTTTCATGCACTTTTCCAATGTGCTGCTCATTAGCGTATTGTTCTAGCATTGTTAATTCCTGCCAAACCTGCTTTACTGTAATAGTGACAGCTCTACAAACCTTGATGTGGCTTGGAATAAACTCTGGAATTTAAACAAAAGTCCTTAATCTATCCTGAAAGCAAATTAATAAAACATTCTTTTTGCCAAGGCACCATGACTGCAATTTTATTGTGAAGACTTGTAAAAGATCAGTTCTCTTACTCTGAAAAGTATACTTCAATTAAGGACAGAGGGAAGAAGAAAGTCCTGCATTACAAATGAGTCTCAGAAGTGAATAACACAGATTAGCATACAACTAGCATCTACTGAAGGAGAAAAGCATTCAAATGCTGGTTAACCAATGTAAATTATAATGATGGGAGAAGTAATAAATTAGAAAAAAAAACCTTTATACATGATAAGCAATTAGATGAGGTGTTTCACTTAATAATAAATGTGTATGGAGATTAAAGTGCATTCCATTTCCAGACCTCTGATCTTCCAACTACTGCTTGCTTTCCCTATTATTGGATCCTTTTTGTTTCCTTGTCACAGGCTACCATTTTCATAACACAAGTGACTTGATGCTTTATCACTAAAGTCAATGATATTTTTCTTGCAGTATCAACAGTAACATAATCACACTTAATTTCACTCAAGCATTTCATTTATATGTTTGATTGCATTTGCTTACTTCCTTCATTGGTGTATTTTTAAATCAAATTTATTCCACAATAAATGTTTTAACCTCAGATGTTTCTTATGTAAGATATGAACGTGAAGCAATAGCATGATTACAGGACTTGAATTATATGCTAGCATGTTTACAGTTCACAATATCTGGTTTCCTCACCAGGAATTAAAGCCTATAGACAGTCAAAGAAAGCAAAATTCTTGTTCACTACATGTGACTTAATCTAGATTGTTTTCAACAATTTAAAATGTAGGAATGATCAGAATTAATATGTCCCAAACAACTGCCCTCTACAGGGTAGCGGGGGGGGGACTTGTTACCAACAAATTGGGTTACCAACCTTTAGGTGGTGGCTGGAGATCTCCCACTATTACAACTGATCTCCAGGCAACAGAGATCAATTCATCTGGAGAAAATGGCTGCTCTGGAAGGTGGACTCTATGGCATTATATCTGGAGAAAATGGCTGCTCTGGAAGCTGGACTCTATGGCATTATATCTGGAGAAAATGGCTGCTCTGGAAGCTGGACTCTATGGCATTATACCACACAGACGTCCCTCCTGTCCCCAAACCCCATCCTCCTCTGGCTCTACTTCCAAAATCTCTAGATATTACCCAACCTGGAGCTGGGAACCCTACCAACAAACTTATCAGCAGGTGGCCAGCACAGGCAAGAACTGCCAAGGACTTCATTCCCTGACAGGAAGTCACAGTCTTTAACCGCTGTACAAATTCAGCATTGTAGTTTTTCCCCATTATTGCATCTCCATACAATGGAAACTGCACAGTTGAACTTTGCTTGTCATACAGTTATTAAAAGTCCTGAAATCCCGCTTGGAATGGAGGGACATGCAAGCCTAACTTCTGTAACACGATGTATTCAGAAGCTGTCAAACAGCGAACAAGGTCTGCTGTAAATGTGCTCTCCAAAAACTCTGACCAGCATTTCCAGTTTGTAGAGGAAATGTGATCCAAAAGAATAGTCCAGTGAATAGAGATTACAAAGCATTATGTTTCAGAAACACTCACACACACAAAAGACAGAATGAATGCTGAATACCAGACTTGCCCTGACAGCATAAGTTAAACATTTACTTCAGGACAAACAAGCAGAGAAGTTTTCAGTGCAAAGAATTTACATGCTTCCATCTCTACCTTTAAGTAAAGCTTCCTATGGCAGAAGTGCTGTTTAAGGAACAGGCATAGGAAAACAAAGATATATAGTGTTAAATGCAGAGGATGGTTTTCTCTGGATGTAATTCTCTAGGGATGCACTCTGGACTCAAAGGAATTACTCTGTGATAAGTTGCTTGAGGCATTTAGAACACTGGCTTTCCAGGAAGGGCAATGACAAATCCATTAGACTCAGTAGAAGCATAATCTTTTCTTTAGGATTTTAATATTCAGTAACAAAGATATTATTGCTCTAGAAAAACATGTTTGATAACCTGCAGGGCTGAAAATATAAGCATGGACACCTTATTAATAAACCACAATAGTAATAATTTGTAAAGACCTTT